AGTAATCCGATGTTTGGGAATTTGTTTGGGAAGTACTGAGCCTGTGAGACTTGGATTAACCTGCATGAGTTCTGTGAGAGTTTGTAAACGGATGTTTTAATAAAGATTTGCTGTTGTCAACCCTTTGAAACCTGGAGTACCATCACTTTTCTTGTGCTGCTTTCAGACGCCTTTTGCATGTATTTAAATTTTGAAACACGAGTGAATTGGTTGATTTCTTTTAAAAAACATGGGTAAAATAGGCAACGAGCAACTTGGTAAGAAATGCCCTGTTTTAAAAAGAAATCAAGCCACTTTGCTCTGGTTTCAGAGGGTTAAACGCAGACCCTGTTCACTTAGGTTCATATAGAATGTTCGCCTTTTTTGGATTCTTCGTTCACTGTCTTTTTCTCAAATTGACAGTATCGCACGGTGAGTAACTGATACACAAATGGTCATTTTGCGGTTGAAATATTCCTTTAAGTTAGTGGAAGGTAGCTGGAAGTCGAGGGCAAATTGGCATTGATTTGGTGGCCGCTGCCGCTGCTGACCCGAAACTGGAGGGTGTTACCGTTGAGCATTGAAACGGGTTATGAATGTTGTGTGAGGACACCTGCTCCTGACTGAAGATTACAGCTACTTCATCCAGTGACAGAAAGAGAGCACAAATCAGTGTAAAAGCCTCAATCATGGTCGTTGTGTTGACCTCCAGTAGTACATGTTAGAGCCCCATTTTTAAAATTCAGTGCTCCTGTTCTCCTCCTCCTCCTCCTCCTCCTCCTCCTCCTCTTCCTCCTCCTCCTCCGCTCTCTGTGTCTATCTCCTCTGGAGTGCATTTACTGTAAATGGAGGTCATTGAGACTGCCCTTTAGAGAGATGCGCGGGTGAAGTCCTCGTCTCTTCTATGTTTTCATTTCTTCTGTGAAAATATCGGAGCGAGGTCACATTTTAATTTGCAGGTAGCTCTCGGCAATTGAACGCACAGGGCTGCAGGGTGTACTCTTACTGCATCAGGGTTGCCATGGCACCGAGGAAGTCGTCCGTCATGAAAATATCCTAATTTCACATTCATTACTTTACTGTGATAATCTGAAGTATTTTTAAATTGTCTGCTGAAGGTCCACATGCTGACCGGAGGCCATTGAGACAGCTGTGGTCTCTGGGAAAGCTGACTAAACTAGACGAAGCCCAGCAGCAGGGTGATTATTCTTTAGGGTACATTAGAGCGGGAAAAATAGAAGATTTTGTTGAGATTTAGCCCCAATTAAGCCGTGCTTAGCAAACAAGAAAATTGGGGTGAACATCAGCATTCTCTCTCCCCTCCCTCGCAGCACCCCAAGCTACAAAATAATAGCCAGTGTGACAGCAGTGAGCTTAATTAGTAGGAGAAATATATGCATAAACCTTGTGTGCAATATTTATACACACAACATTGACTTATTGTAAATATCTGGATTTAGTTTAAAGTTCATTTAGCTCTGGAGGCGACGTTTAAGGCATTCACACATGCATTTTGCACAGCTCCACATCAGTCTGTAGGCAATTTTGATGCAAGTATTATTTCACATGGAGGGTTTCTGATTTCACATTTTCCTCTGTCGTTCAGGATTCATTTATGAATGCAAATTTCCTTCCACTTTTTATGTATGGTGCTGTCTTTTATAGTGTATTCGCTGCTCTGTTGTTGTTGTTGTTGTTGTTGTTGTTGTTTTTATGTTTACCAGCCCAGGGACAACAGATGCAAATTAGCTGCTAGCTAACTGTAATGCAATTACTTTTAATTGTGCATTGGTCCTGCAAAAATAAACAATAAAATAGAAATTAAAAAAATAAAGAAAGCACCAACCTCCTTGGCTGCACACAGAAGGAAGCCATGCTACAAAAATCAGCATTTAGGTCAGCCATGTTGGCATGTGTTGCAGTCTGCTTTTTCGCTTATTTGATACCACCACTGCCAAAGTCAGAAAATAACCCAATTTAACCATCTTAGAATATAAAAAAAATTGATAATCATTTCATAATTCTGTTGGATTTTTTTTTGTGTTTATTAAGGCTAGGCATTCTTGATTTGAAGGATTTGAAGAAAAATTAAAAATAACAATAAAATACAGCATGTAAAACAGGTCAGAACATGTTGCATTATAGCAAGAAACACATCACATATAAAACAGTTACAGACAATTCACTATCACATGTTACAGTTGAATATTACATGTATCAGTGTTCATGTCGTTGTTGTAGCAAAAGAGAACAGGAGTTGCTGGTAAGTTTTGCCATAACTGTGGTTACATCATAAAAGGTAGAAGCTGTGATAACTGTGGCGTCCTGATTCCTGCATTGTTGTCCAGGGAAAAAGAATCTTGTGAGTCATGTTGTTTGTGTGTGCGGTGAGATCTTTTCTCATGAGTCACGTAGCGTGTACAGTTGTTTTTTGTGTGAGAGAGAGTTGTGCCGCTTACCTGAAGCATTGAGAAGAGAATTTGTAGTAAACATGCCACAGCTAGCTGACATCTCATTCTTGTATCTGCCAAAAAAATACCTTAAACAGGCAGTGTGGGAGCATTTTGGATATCTACAAAATGACCAGGGAGTTGTTGTAGAAGATGGATATTCAATTTGCAAAGCTTGTCCTTCAAGCAGTGTCTACAAAGAAGTCCAACACTTTAAATGTATTCTGACATCTTAGAGATAATTATCCATCTCTGTGTGCACAAGTCAAGGTAGAAAAAACTTTATTAGCTAACGTACAAGGCTGGACCAACACAGTTAAAACTCTTATGTTACCCCCCAGGGAGGACTGTGGGAGGGAGGTTCAATCTCTGTTTCTGTCTTTTCTTTGTACCCTTTGTTCTGTGTAGCCTTTTCCCATTTAACCATTAGAAATGATTTTTCAGTGTCCAAACGTTACATTATAAAAACTAACTGGTTTTAATAATCAGGGTAGCAGTGATTGACACTTTGAAACCTGAGAAAGTTGATTTCTCTCAAAAACATGGGCAGAAGGTAAGGTGTTGGCCAAAAAAGAGCAAGGTTTGGCTTTATAATCTTGTGAACATGAACGCCGCTGTCCTGGGTGAAAGTCACTGTTTGTTAGTTTGTTTGTTTTTTTCTCTTTCACTATTTTTTCTTTTTTCCCAATTTTCTCTTTTTTTCCTAATTTTCTCTTTTTTTCCCCCTAGTTTTTTTTCTTTTTTCCATAGGTTTTTTTTTAATTATGTTTTCCAAACTTTTTCTTTTTCCCTATTTTTTTCCCCTCTTTCCCTGTTTTTTTTCCCTATTTTTCCCAAGTTTTTTTCTATTTCCGAAGTTTTATCTTTTTCCCATTTTCTCTCTTTTTTCCTGTTTTTTTCCCTTTTTGTCTTTTTCCCCAATGGTTTTTTCTCTTTTCCCTTTTTTCTCTTCCAGTTTATTTCTTTTTTCCTTTTTTTTCTCCCTATTTTTCCTTTTTTCCCTTTCCCCCTTTTTTCTCCTTCCCTGTTTTTTTCCTTTTTTCTTTTTCCCCCTAGGTTTTTTTTATTGTTATTATTTCTTCTTTTTTTTCTCAGAGTTTAAAGGGTTAAATACTGCGTCTGAAAGAAGTACAAGAAAAGTGATGTTGCTCCAGGTTTCAAAGGGTTAAACAAATTATTAGAAACTGGTTAAAAGATAAATTAAATGTACTGTACCAGCCGTTTTGTGTTTTGTGTTTGGACAACAAAAATAAAAATAAAGTATATATTAAAAAAAGATAACTTAAATGGAAGGATTTTGTGAAAGAGATATTCGAAATTACCATGAGAGTCAGAAATCAAGTGCATATTTTTTTTATTTTCTTGAAGACAGATGGGAGAATGGTTGAGCTGTATAAAAGACTATGTTCCCGATGATCTGTGATTATATGACAGCTGAGGTAATAAGATTGATAGCATAGAAATGAGACACACACAACTTGTGCTGTTGGTACAGAAACCCCCCCAGTAGCTCATAAGGAATGCCCCTATTTAATTTTCCTTTTTTCCCCTTTCCTTTTTTTTTTTTTTAAAAATATTTTGCTCCTCTGCCATCAGGCAGGAGGTTCGGGTCCATCAGAGCAAAGATCTCAATACTGTTTAACAGCTTCTGCCCACAGGCCATCAGGCTGCTGAACAGCCAACCCATCTCTCTGATTCCTCCCAGCTTAAAGAGACAGTTTACTCCAAAATCAGAAATACATATTGTTCCTCTTACCTGTGGTGCTGTTTATCAGTTTAAATTTGTTTGGTTTGAGCTTCCGAGTGTTGGAGATATCAGCCGCAGTGATGTCTGCCTTCTCTTAAATATAATGGAACTCGATGTCACTCAGCTTGTGGTGCTCAAAGCACCAAAAAATACATTTGATAAACTCAACAGCAATGTCTCTTTGCAGAAATCATGACCTGGTTACTGGTAAGATAATCCACAGACCTTGTTGTGAGCTGTTTTATGTAGGAACTATTTTCTTTCAACTGAACTACATCCACCAACTGTATCACTGCGCAGAAGGAAGCGTGCATCTACTGCTAGCTCACGTAGCACCACTGAGCTAGCTAACGTTGCAGCTCAGCCGAAGAGGACGCCATCATTGTTACATCTCTTGCTGTCATGAGCACCAACCTGTTGTCCATGAGTGGATGTCGATGAGAGATTTTGTCTGAACTGGACACAGTCTTGTTACAACTTCAAACTACTGTTGCTTTATCGTTTTACTTTTTTTTAACTTGCACTCCATCCATCTTAGGTATGTGGGCTCTGGGACTGTGTCGTGCTGTGTAAATGTTTGTGTTCTTGTATACAGTGTTATTTATGTTGCACCTTGATCCCACAGAGACACTCTCTCATTCTGGCTCGCACAGAGCTGGGTGGTAAGATGACAGTGAACTGGATTTGATTCATGGGAAATTAGAACTTCTGATTGAAGACGATGGAATAAAAACATCAGGATGTCCATATAGAAATGTAAAAATAAACAAATTGTTTGTGTTATCCTGTCTGATGTCTTTTCTTGTTCTTTCTTTTTTCCCCAGAATGCCGAGGTGTCTGTGTTCGAGGTCAACATTCGATTCATAGGAGGACTCCTGGCCGCCTACTACCTCTCTGGACAGGAAGTGAGTACTTCTCTGTGTGTGTGTTTGTGTTATCGTTGAAAGAGAAGCAGAAGGCTTTATCGTCTCCCCTCTCCTATTTTCTTTTTCTTTTCATCGACACTTCCTCCTCTCATCTATCCTCTGCTCTGCTCCTATTAAGGTCAGCAGGCAGATTTTGGCTCTTGGTTAAGGAGCTGGTGGAAGTTGAGTGTATCTCTCTCTGTCCGTCCCATCCATTCCTAGCTTTCATGCCCAGCCAAGCAGTGCTCCCTCTGTAATGGGAGCAGATGCATCAAATATGTGTTCAGCACAACGTCCACATTCACTGTAGGTGTTTTTATTTTATTTAAAATACTGCCTGAAACACATTTACGGATTTCAGTATCAGCTCTATGAACCCTGATTGATTTCCTATTGTTGTTTTTTTTCCGCTTTTTCTTGCTGCCCTGGTCATTTAAAGTTGAGAATTCTGTTTGTGTCATTAGTCATTCAGCTTAATTAAACACTGGTAAATCAGAATATTTAATTGTAGAGGTTTTTCTGCCAGTCGTGATTTATTTAAGTCCCTGTCCAGACATATTTTAAAGCAGTGGTTCCCAACTGGTCCAGATTTGTCCTTAGTCATTAGTTTAAGGTCCACACAGTTTAAATATTCTGCATCATACTAGTATAATAGTATCAGTAACATTGTTAACACTGAGCTACATTACAGAGAAATACAAAACCGTACTAATGAACCTTCATTAATATAGGCCTATATTTTATCTACAAGTGCACGTCACACACTGAGCGAGCTGCCTGTTAATGACGCTGTGGGCTAATGGGCATGTAGCTACTTCCATGTTTCAGATGATACGTCATGTTTGTAGTCGCCCAATGAAGATGAGTTTACATATCACCTTGGGTTCGTCCTTCACCTTCTCAAAATGATCCCACACTTTGGATTTCCTGCCCGACATATTAACTAGCCTGTGGAAAAACCGCAGGTACCAGCCCTGGAAATTAATGTGACTAACAGGACTATTTGTGTCTGTCTAGTCAAATTGAATTCCCACATGGTCCAGTCATATAGGTTTTAAGACTAAGTGACCACTGAAATCTTGCCGACTAATGACTTTTCTGTTTGACTAACATTTGGTTGACTATTAGGGGGCAGCCCTATTAATGAGAAATTGCAAACTTGAATAGGGTGTTCAAGGAAACAAGTGTATTCTCACATTCAACTCAGATTCAGAATCCTGTAGCCCCTTTTACACTGCCACATTTTCCGCAAATGTTGGACCGATTCGCTGGCAAGCTGAGAGCGTTTAGACACACAGAGCTGGATTGGCGAGTTGATCCGAGGTGCCCAATTTTCCACCTCATAGGGTAGTCATATTGGCAGAACCTATTTAGTTTAAACAGACCGAGGTGGCCTTCCGCCATGGGAGGAGCTGTTGATGACGCCGCATGTGCGACCCACTGGCAGTGGATAAACAGAAAACAGCTGATAGCAGGAATTAGCGAGCAGCTAGTAGCAAGAGGGAAACACAAACCTGACAGACACTGTAAAGATGAGCAACTGGGGAGACAAGGAATTGTGCGCCCTCCTTGCCCTCGCAAACAAAGAGGCCATTAACCATCAGATGACGGGGACGGTGAAGGACGGGCCGACTTATGAGAGAATCGCCGAAGGACTGACCAGCCGCGGCTTCCCTCCCACGTCACTGTTTACGTCACATGCTGAGCTACACGTTTTGTTACTTGCTCACGCCCCCCATTGCCCCAAAAAAGGCGCATTCTGTATAAACAAAAGTAGGTAGGCGGCATTTTGCTGCACTCCCCGATTTTGTTTTTATACTGCCAATGCTGAACGAAGACTGATTGGGCTTTTCTGCAAATTTGCACAATTCCTGTTTAAAAAAAGGCTTGTGTTTTTGTCTAGTGGGTTTTCATCTACAAGTGATGTGCTTTGATGTATTGGTGCATAACATAAATATAGTGAGAGAAAAGTATTGAAAAAAAAGGAGGAAAAAATAATGATAAGGCCTTGGCACAAAGTTCAAAAGAGCCTCACAGAGAACAATTACACATAGAAAATGTATTGATTTAATGTTTGACTTTGGTGGGTAGTTAAAAAGGAATTCTCCTTCATTATCAGAAGCTGCAGTGTTTTATTGAATTTAAAAATCAAAAGCAGAACCGCAGCTTCATAAACGTTCCTCTCATCAGGTGATATAACAAAGCAGAGAACTTATTAGTCATCTGTGGGTCGGTAAAAGCAATAAAAATCAGTAAAAGCTGATCTAATCACCTACAAGTTTTGCTTACTCCCACGAATAACGCCCCTAACGTTGAAAACACCCATTAAACTTTGCCCGAGTGATGCAGAGGTTATGCGTTGGCTTTTTGAAACTGATGAAGAGAGATTTTACATCACTCTGAATAACAACATATGCTCAAGTGCCTCACAGGCAAAACTTAAAGTCGCTCTCATTCGATTCAACCCCCCCCCATACACACACAAAAAATCAAACCCAGTCATTCATCAGAGCCTAGCCGAGCAATAATAGAAGCAGTGGGTGGTGGGAAAGGAGGGAGATGGAGCATGGGAGGGCTCGGAGGAGAGACAGTGATGGAGGGAGCTGAGGAGAGGGCGGTGGAACAACTGGGACGGGACAGCGAGGATGAGCGGAGGGTGTGTGAAGGTGATGCTTACAGATAAAGAGATGGGAGTGGAGGATGAGGATGATGAATGGCTGAGGTGGGGAGAGAAAGTGGGTGAGAATCATTCTTCACTCTCATTGGACATGTCCTTGAGCAAGGCACTTAACCCCTCAACTGCTCCAGTCAACCAGCAGCAGGATAAATGGGTGTTACTGGGAGGCTCCCCCAGGGGGAAGTTGTGTGTAGCAGCGTGAATATGAAGCCGGCTCCCAGCAGACGTAGAGTTTATCAGCATCTCTCCCAGTTGGACGTTAGCGTGTCGTTAGGGATGAAGCTGTGATTGAGGGAGGGAGGGGCTGAAGCACAGGGAGAAGAGGGGGAGTCGACCAGAGAAGAAGCAGGGCTGAATGAAGACTGAAGGAAGGAGTGAAACAAAGGTTACAAAGTAGGAGACAGAGATGTATGATGTAAAGATGGATGGGATGCAGGGTAACAGGAAAGGTTTTGCTGTTGATGCTGTGGGCAACCACCAATCACCTGTCCTTATCTCAATGACTATTTTGCTATAAAGTAAACTGACTGAGTTGACTTTAAAAAAACCCTAAAAATTGGACAGGTGGAGGACACTAGCTCTGTTGTTCCTATGTACTACGCTTGACTTGGGGAAATAGAGATCTGTGCGGGTAGATGAGACTCTCAGAAAAAGGGGATATCACAGGAGTACTACCAACTGGTCCAGGAGCTCCACCTGGATGGTGGTTGGTTTGAGGCTTATTTTAGGGTGAACTGGCCCTTTGCTAAGTCCCACCCCCGGACGCAGGCTGACGGGTCATACCGTAGCATCAGGCAGACTCTTACACACAGCTGTGCTCCACTGACTCTAATTAACTTCATTTCCAGGCTGGTTTTGTGGATTTGGAGCTAAATGTTGTGTCTGGGGCACGTCGTGTACTAATGATACTCGTTACCTGGAGAGGTTGGAAAACTGCTCCAAAACCAAAATCAAACCCTGAAAAGTGTAGGATTAGCTAGCTAGCTACTGAAGATATAGCCTACTGAATGTATACACATGCTGGTTTTGCTTTTTAATGATTATAACAGTGAAACAAAGAGCGACCCTGCTGTACAGGAACCAGTGAAGGGAAGCAGCGAAACTTTGCTGATATTCATCCAGCTGTGTGTCATCACAGTGTGTGTGTAGATATGCATTGTCTTGTGTGGCGATCAGCAGTGATGTGGTGGTTCACTTTTACACTGTGATCTGTAGCCTATAGTTCGGCTTTAGCTTCTAACTGTCTTTGTCTTTTTAACCTGTTGTTGCTGCTGAGTCAGATTGACATCCTGGATATATCCTTCAAACACAGACTGTAGACCCCTCTGTCTGCTTCTCTCTGGAATCACTCTTTCATTTTTCCAAAAATATGATCATATTTCAGGGAGTGCAGTTAGTTACAGTGTGGGCTCCATGCTTACTGCGACAGCTTGTCGGACCATCACAAAGGGACAGGGCTTAGCGAAAGGTCAATATGGGACAGTTTGACCAACTGTTTTCAATCGTCGGCCTGATTGCAATTGGTATAACATTTGAAAATACTTCAGGCTATAGTTTGTTCAGACGTGTCTTGCAACTTCCCTAATAGGGCAATGATGAAAGTGAGCCAACTTCAGCTAACTTCAACTTGTTGTCATCACCACTACAGAAACAAAGTTTTCCTCAGAAATGTAGACTAACAGGGTGAGTAATGGATATAGAAATGTTCATTTGGGGGTTGAAGTATTCCTTTTCCTTTTGAAGTATTCCTGGGGCGGCTGTGGCTTAGAAGGTAGAGCAGGTTGTCCACCAATTTGAAAATCGTCAGTTTGATCCCTGGCTCCTCCATTTAGCATGTCTAAGTATCCTGTGGCAAGATACTGAACCCCAAATTGCATTTTATATGTAGTGTTAAAGTGCTTTGAGTGGTCAAAAGACTAGAAAAGGGCTATGCAAGTGCAGCCCCTTTACTTTAAACTGTTGTGGGTCTGTGCAATATTAAACTGGGCCTCACAGAACCAGAGAGCCTGATGTCTTTGGCCCCATCGGAGCTCTAAGTTGAATAACAGAAACAAGCTTTTTATGAGGACATTAAAGAAAATGAAGGCCGTGCATCAGCAAAGTTAAGGAATGCAAGTCAGACTGCTCAAGTTAAGACTCAGATTTTCAGTCCTGTAAGTAGAAAGCTGCTGGAACTGAAGAAACATAGTGATAAAAGATTTCCAAGGCATCCGTCTTCTTTTAAGACCAACAGAATAAAGGACAAAGGAGAATAATTTAAGACCAAATACAAGAGGAAAGAAAGAGACAGAGAGGGTAATACAGACGGGGAGGACAGGAGCAC